AACCTCGGCACACATTCATTTGCCTTCCCATGGCCAAGTCCAACGTCAGTGGGAAGGGGAATATACTCCGCCTCCAGCGGGAGAAACTGCAAAATTATAGAGCAAAGGGCATGGACACCGGCAGGGTCGACTTAGCTGCACAGACCCCTGTGCTCCAACAGGCCCCACCTTTGGTCAAATGCTTTGATGTTGGTGTCGTAAAATTCTTAACCATTTTTTGGCAATTTTCATTTTCACTTGGCCCTGCATAGTCCATGGCCAGGCATACGCACTGGGAAGGGTAAAGAAATGGGAATAGTGCAATCATTTCACTTAACTGACTATCTCATCTTCATTCCCCATCTCTGCCAACCCCTGCTTTCAGAATCATGTCATAGAACGTCTGCAGTAGATTTAGTAAGCTTCACCACATTCAGCTGCACTTCACATCGTGACTCCTCCCCTAAGACAGAGGTGCAGTTCTGAGTAGCACGAGAGGGGAAGGGGCACGGGTGGCCTTATCATCATCATGTTCTTTCCAGAATTAAACCTGATGCATCTGGCCCCTCCTACCAGCCTGGTTATTCCTTCCCAGTGAACTCAACACCCACCATCCCAACCTCTGCACACTCATCTCCCCCTTCTCTTCCACATCTTATGTGGCTACTCGACGGAGAGAATACACAAAACTAGAGCCTTCTACACGCATAACTGTCAGGAAAACTGCAGTAAGGCTGGACAAACCCAGGAATGAACTGGAGGATCACAGAATTGTCAAGACAGAAGTGACACCCCACACTATGAAACTAAGTGCCCCCTCTCAGGCAGAGTCAGTGTAACTCGAAACCAGCTCAGACATTCTGTTGTCTCACTGGATGCAAGTGAGGTGAACATTTCATAGCGCCTCGGGACAACCACACCAAGGTTTGATGACGGTCACTTTTCCTAGAGTAAAATTAAGGAATTTTTTCTTTATTCTTATACCAATCTCGGAATCTCACTTACGTTCACTGAACTTGGAGATGCAATAGAAGGTCCTAGATTCATCCCCACACATGCCTGAGAGCAGCCATCAAACCACCCTCTACCGTCTGCAATGCTCCCTATCCCAACCCTGCACTTTACAGCAACCCACGGAGCCGATGGCATGCTTGGGGGGCACAGCAAGAAGCAAGTGGCTCTTGCCACAAGGGATGAATCGTAAGCAAAGTCGACATGTGAATCCTGCAGTTCAACCAATTACCCAAAGAACACATTTTCTGATAATTACAGAGCTAAAAATGGTTCTACTTTGAAAATCCCTTCCTTTCTCCTGAGAAAGCTGAGGAGGTGGTTTAACAACAATCAGCTGCTGAGATGCATCACATTCTGGAGTGTTTAGGAGACGAGTTCCAAGAAATTTCTTGGAAGGTACAGTTCCCAGAAGGTGGTGGCAACACTAACTAGACCCCATGAGCTCTCCTCGCCACCCCCAACAGGCACTCACAGCTTGGGAACCTGAGCTCAGAAGCCCATGAAGAGAGACAGGAGGGACGTGACAGGTCAGCCCGCCTCATGACACTGTCCAACCAGCAACACTTAGCTTAGAAATTGGGGGATGGTCACCAGCCAAGGATGACGTCAGCCTGCTTCCCCAAGTGTGTGCCTGGGGATGTTCGTTTTAGGGAGGAGCTCAGGATAGGGCTAATAATAGCATTTAATGTGTGCTGAGCATTTATGAGCTAGATATACTTGCATTATCTCACTGAATTCTCACAAGAACTGGATGAGGAAGGTGCTGTTATTACTCCCCCCCACTGTGGAGTCACCGTGATAATAAATCAGGGCAGAGGCCTGTATACTTGACCACCACACTACACCACCTTTCTGGGGGAAGTGTATACTCCCTACCCCATCCTAAGGAAGGATGGAGCTGGGCAGGAAGGCAAAGCAGGAGAAAGGACTGAGCAAGAAGCAATGAGAAAGAAGCAGAAAGAGGAGGAAGAAGACTGGAGGAGGCAGACGGGGCAGAAAGACATGTAAAGAAGAATCTACTCTTGGCGTGGACGTGTACCAGGGACATGGGGAATGGAAGGAGATACTTGAAAGAAGCAGATTTGGACGAGACACCTATGGGAGGCTGACAACAGCCTTCATCTTGGTTTGATTTTGCTCTTTTCCCTCCAGACTTGCCTGGTCCCTTGTGCCCCTTTCCTTTGGGTCCCCACCAGAAGATGTCTTCAACTCATGGCAAGCTTTTGGGCCTCACCTGCCCCGCTTCAGGTCAACCCTGTTTGGCTGGGCATTTGCCCATGAGGGGATGGGTAACTTTGGGTGCTTGATTTGGAAACTACATTCTGTGTCTTTCTCTTCTCTGTATCGCACACTAATTGTATTAAAGTTCTTTTCCATTGAAGGCCTTACGCAATAGAGTATGTTTTGTCTTGATGCGGCAGATAGCAGAGCCCATTTAGACAGGCAGGTTTGGGTGCCCTAGGGCACCCCTCGCCCTGCTCTATAACAGATTAAACCAGAATTGGCTGAGAGAAGATATAAATAAGGTTATAATACAAACTACAAACAGGTCAGGGGGCATAAACACAAGGAAAGGAATGGGATAGGAGAAAAGGTTAGAGGTCTTCTGGGTCAATACTGAAAACAATATAGAGTTAAATTTGATTTTTAAATATAAGTCTGATGTAAGTCACCCATGTAGTGAAAGATGTGTTTTGTGACATATCACAGACATTATCGAAATGAAGAAATGAAAAGATTATTGATGATCTCAATGCTTCCGAGAAGGACTTAGATTATAGAAGTGTCAGAAAGTTAACCCTCATTTATTAAATTCCTTAATAAATCTTTATTGATCATCTTCAGTAGGCTATGCCCTGTGAAATGAACAGAACAAAGACATTATCCTTCCAGAACTTACATTCTAGTGGAAGAAGAGATCCTCATGCCCAGTATTAAAATGTCTGTGAGAACAGTTACCAAATTAAGCTAAAATGCAAATAATTTGAAATTACATTCAGAAGGAAATCATGTCAACCTCAGTGCAAACAACCTTGGAGTCCAGGACCCAGACACAGACATGAAGAAACCGAAAGAGTGACATGTTGAAAGGAAGATGTGCTCACAGCAAGTGTTCTGGAGCAGGAGTGAAAGCTTCAGGTGGCTTGTTTCTACATTAAGTCAATCAAGGGGTGCCTGTCACCCCAGTGCAGGACCCCGTGGAAGACCAACCATCAGGCTGCAGAAAATGTGATCGGCCAGTTATAACACCTGAAGTCCTCAAGTCAGTGTTTCATGTCCTCTGAGTCTACCTTGCACTTTTCTCCTTGGTGTTTCCCACTGCAATGAATAGCAATTGTGTTTATCTTCACAGAAACAGCAGAGGCAGTACTGTGGTGAATGAAAAGGGCAAAAACCAGAAAAAGGCACTAGGCGTACACTGTGTCGTGGAGTAAAATGCCTCAGTCTACTGTTATAGAAATGCAATGCAAACTATATGCAAATTTGCAAAGGGTGATACAAATCCTTGCACAGTCTACAGATTTTCATATCCTTTGTTTTGACCTTAGAAAAGTCCAGGGCTATGGGCAACAAGACCTTAGCAGGGGCGGCCACAGGTTATTTCCAACTGTCTGGTCAGAAAGTCCATGGTCAAGCAAGGAAGAAGGTTGAGCAAGGCTGCAATGTGATAGATAATAAACTATCAACCTGCCACAAAATTCAGGCTGGTGCTTTCATCACGGAAGGGGAAGGGGTAACTTAGAGATGAAAGACAAAGCTATGTTTTAGTCTTGGTCCATTTTATCCCACCTGGGTGTCAGTCTTAAAGAGCAAGCCAAAGACTATGGAGTTAAAGCTGGAGCAGGTCAGTGGTATCCAAATATTATCTGGGAAAATAATTTATAAATTCATGAATTATCCTTAATGCCAAAAGATTTGTGTTATTAGTCATTCTTTACTCCTTGGATCATAGTATTTTCTTTATCTGAGCACACTTTCCTGCTCTGATACATAAGACGTGGAATTCTAGTACTGCGTTTCTTGGAAAACATGAAAGGACAAGGAACTAGCTGCAAAAATAACTGACTTCTTGATTAAGCTCCCACCCAATGAAATGCATCACTATTGAAAATTTGTTTAAAAATCAAAACTTACAAAATTGTTTCCTTTCTATCCGTGCTGTCATGGCATTCGGTTTCTCTGCTATTCACACAAGGCTCAAAAACTCCTTTGGGGATGACAGGTGGCTTTTGTATGGCTAGTATCCATCTGCTCTGTCCTGAGACCATGGGTGTCCTTTGGCACAAGACTAATGGACACTGCTAATTTAACCTGCAAGTTGCTGTTCTCCACAACTGCTACAGAAAACTCACACTTCCATGCCTGGAGAGTGACAGACTGGTCTCTATGATGGTCTCTATGATGTGCTAAACACCAAGCTGGAGTTGCACGTGCACAGATAAATATGCGTGCATACATGTGCTGCCTGAGTACATTTACAGCAGCTGTGACCTACTGTCCATCCATTCAGAGCCAACTCTCTGAATGCCTGGTTCCCCTTTAATAATACCTCCCCTTCCAACCCTCAGACATTCCCAATTACGCTGTCAATCAAATTGCAAAGTGGAGTGGCAGGCTGCAAGCCTCAAAGGAAACCCAGCCTCCAGTTAAAACTTCCCTAATTGGGGCGGGAGCATTGCTAAGCGCAGCACTGAAGAGAAACAAAGGCTGGGAGGCAACCTTGGTTGTAAATGCCATCCATCATCATGGAAAGATAAAGAACCTCTAAACTCAACCAGAGGGCACTTGCAAATACCCTGTGCTGTCATGACACTTTGATAGATGGCCACCCCTTTTAATTAGCTTCTCTTGTCTCCCCCGGTTTCCAAAGAACTGATAGAAACTTCCCCCTCCCCCACCGCCATTTGCCTTCCCCGGGAGACAGGACTGGAGTGGCCCTGCCCTTGTGCTGTGAGCACACGTGCCCGCGGGATGGTCCACCTCTGGCATGGAGCCTGTGCACTGACCTTTCGCAGAAGGAAGCAGATGCGCTCGATATTCCTCAGCCGTTCCCTCTATCCAGATGCACCAGAAAGAAAGGAGAGGGGAAGTCAGAGGTTTTTCTGAAACAGCTTGAGAAGACCCCACATTCAGCCCCCAACAGTGGAGACAGAATCCCCAGAGATCCCTCCCGCCAGACAGCCTGCATGCTCCCACCTCTGGCTCTTCCTAACAAGAGTTTCTGTTTTTATTCCATCTAGCTTGTCATGGTTATTTGCTCTTAATAGAACTCTCCTGCAATCAGCATGGGAGAGCTACACTCTTGGCCTAACAGAGGCATCAGTTCTTTTTCCTGCAGGCGAAGTCTCTTAGCCTCCGTGTACCAATACGGCAGATGGTCAGACTGTAGAAGGGCACCACGTAGCCACTAAATGTCCCAAAGCTTGCAGTCAGCCCTTCAAGAAAGACTCCCCTCTTGGGCCTCAAAGGGCATATCCACCCTATTAATGTCTCAGGAAGGGAAATTCTCTGCCCGTTGGTTTTGTTTTTCTACCATGAGTGTATGTAGAGGCAGCGATCTCCCCCAGCAATGCCCCCAGGCTAAACTTTTCAAGAACTTAGAAGTCCATCTCCAGGTGCTGAGGGACGATGCCCCATGGCTGGGCAGGTGATGCTGCTCACATCAAACACTGTCGCCTTCCCTTTCCCCAAGCGACTTCTCTGAACGCAGCTGTGGCACCTCCGTGTGCTTCATTACCGAGGCAATTTGTTGTTGCAGGAGTGACAGTAATGAGATTCCTCGTGGATCTGGAGAAGACAGGTGGCTGGGACACTTCAATTTCCCTAATTGCATCATAAATGTAGTGATTCCTGCGCATCCTTTAGGCCCAGAGGAAAAAGCCCACATCAGGACAAATTAGTGTCTGCATGACTAGGAGGACAGACCCCATCCTCCTCAACACATGTGTGTACAACACATGTGTGTGCACACACACAAACACACACCCATCCTCCTCAACACATGTGTGTACAACACATGTGTGTGCACACACACAAACACACACCTAGAGTTGGGCATCAAGGCTGCCTAAGTGGAAAATACTGTGAAAAAGATGTGAGGGGTAGGATAAAAGACTGTGGTACAGGATACACTAGCTGCCTGCCCCCACACCCCCCAGCAAGCCAGGTCCTCAAAAGGACAATATGTCTCATTACTTTAAATTGATGCTGAATCTCCAGCTGCTAAGAGGGAGAAAGAATCAGCAAGAGAAACTAGGAGGAAAGCAGGGCATTACTTCTCCTTCCCCCCTCCCGGAAGCGGGGTCCAGCCAGAGGACCCAGCAATATTTGGAGCTTCAGTGGATCTCAAATCCAAAGAACCAACACACCTAGGGCAAACTTATTTAAAAACGCATCATGCCAATCAGCATTTATTTATAACGTAAGTCCTTCCAGGCTGGACTTATCAACCAATAAAGCAAATTTTTCAAGCCACCTGATCCTGAAATGAAACTTGGGGGTCTCTATGGAGGCCTAAAGAGTTTGAGGATGAGTAAATGAGGCAGCCAAAGCATTTAATTTCCCGCCAGAAAATAACATCATAAAACCTGGGAAAATCTAATGCTCTTTCATTGAGGATTTTTATGGACTTTTTAAATCTGAGAAGACTTCTTTCACTAAGGGCTTCAGTCTATCTGTGAGATTTCTGGGCTTCTCAATAAATTCATTAACTAATTAGCAGTGTAGTCTTACTAAAAGTTGAAACCCAGCTTCTGTACACACCTCACCTTAATATTCATTCATTCTTTCATCAACAAATAGTACTTGAGAGCCTCCCCGGTGGTACAGCTGGTTGAGCACCACTGTGAAACTGTCTGCAGCCTCTGCAGCACAGGTTCGATTCCTGGCCGGCCAGGGAAACCCACATGGCACAGCAGACCTCTCCTGCCTCACCCGCTGCTCCCCTCAACAATGTCTTCGGCCCGATTGCCTGTTCTGCTCCCTGCTCTGTCACTGGTGAATTCTCTCACCCTCCCACGCCGCTGACTGTACCCCAGTTCTTGTATAAATAAATCTTTAAAAAAAATAACAAATAGTATTTGAGCAGGTACTTGAGTAGTGTAAAGGCAGGAACAGGGCACAGTGCAGGTTTTCTGATCCAGCAGACCGGGTAAAGGAGGAGTCAGAGTCCTCAGTGGTTTTTGCAGGCTTTTATTGGGATTTACCCAGCACACAGCAGGCAGGGGTGCTGGGGGGCCGGGAGGCTGGCAGGCCTCCCAGCCCCCAGCAAGTCTGCACTCTATGTGGGCTCTCCGGCCTTCTCTGCTTCTCTCCCGGCTCTGTTCGTTCTCGGCTTCTTGGCTTCTGCTGGCGTCCCCATGACGCCGCCCTTATAAGCACAGTCTTAGCGCAGGTGTACCCACTTCAGGTGCCCGCCATCAGGCATGCATTCTGGATCACAGGGTTCCCTCATCTATCCTGATGGCGGGAGGGCAGAAAATCCTGACATTTTTCCTTACCCTACAAGTAGGTACTGTGTGCAGGTCCTGTTCTTGCACTGACTTTCCCAGAAGTGCCCAGTGGATATTATTAGTGCTTATTTTTCTTGCTGTATCTGAGCTAAGGAGCTTGCTGTGGTGACAGGGAAACAGGTTCACAAAAACATCCCATTTTACTAATCTCCAGTAAACTGGTACTGAGTTTGCATGAAGGAACTTAGTGAGAGAACAAATTTCTTCGCTGACATATACCCTGAGATCATACAAGAAGGTTCTGGCATTCTAAGGGTGCTACTTCCTAGTTTGAACCCAGACAACCAAGGAGGAATGGAAACAAGTTCTGAACTTCCCCAGCATCCAAAACTGGAAGTGTTCTCCCAGACTAGCGCAGCACCTGAAGACATTGACAAGCCAGGTGTGTGATGTTGGTGCCAAAGATAAAAACGTCCAGAAAGATATGAGACCCTGGGTGAAACCTTTTCAGGCCCAGCAGAGTCAAGCTATCACAGGTGGATGGTGAGGCTGACAGATGGAAACAAAATGGATTTTAATAACTTTCACAAAATACAGTTAGTATTTGAGTGTATCTTAGAGATCCTTTCAACTTGCAAGAAAATTCTGCTTCACACAGTTGATGTTGTTTGGCTCTATTTCACAGAATCAAAGTGTGATGCCAAAAGGATGATAAAATCAGGCATTACAAAATCAAGTCTCTTAGAGACAACACAGAGTAGGTGGCGAGAACACGGGCTTTGGTGACAGGCAGAGTTGGCTTCCAATCCTCACCTCACCACTCATGAGTCCATGGATCAGAGCCTCTAAATTGGGTAAACCATGCCTGTCTGGCAGAGTTGTTGTGAGAATTACAGATGACAGATATATAAAGTTCCTGGCATGTAATAAAAATTCAAAAAAAAAATTGCAACTCCAATAATAATCCTCTACAGAAGAGGACACTGAAGCTTGGTCCCGCCAGATGGTCTTCTGGTACCTTCCTATGTGCATATCCTTCAGGGGGCAGGCAGTGAAGAACAGACCTTTGTCCCTGTAACTGAAGAGTGATGGCGAAGCCATTCAGGTTAACATGGCATGGGCGGGGGGGGGACCTCCCTGGTGGCGCAAGGGGTTAAGCACTGCACTATGAAGCAATCCGCAGCCTCTGCAGCACGAGTTCCATCCCCGGCCAGCCAGGGAGCAACCCACATGGCGCAGCAGATCTCTCCTGTCTCACCCGCTGCTCCCCTCAACAGTGTGTTTCAGTCAGTCTGTTCTGTTCCCCACTCTGTCTCTGGTGAATCCTCTCACCCCCCGCATCTCTGGCCTGTACCCCAGCTCTTGTATGCATAAATAAATACATCTTTAAAAAAAAAAAAAACATGGCATCAGGCTGGTAGAGCTTGATGTTCTCTCTACAACTTTTGAATGAAAGTATCAACAGAACTATGCAAATAACAACTTGTCTTAGCAGTGAAATCCATAGTCTGGATGGCACTTCAACTAGACACAGGACCAGTGGATGTAGAAGGAGAGACAAGTGGAATTAATGGTACATGCTCCGTCCTTTGAACACAGCAGAACCTGTTTAGAGTAACTGCAGGAAAAGCTCTGTCCACACACAATTGGCCCCTGGCTCTTGGACTCAACAAAAGTGATGCCCTCCTCCTCTCCCAGCATCAGGCTTCATCTACAGTCAGGGCAGATGGAGGGGCGGCAGGCACCATCTAACAAGCAAAAGGGGGCACCAAGCTTGGAGCAGCATGTTCTGGGGGCAGGGAACCTGTCACCTGTGCAGCCAGACCAAAATCAGCAGACTGTCAGAGTCCCCAGTGGCAGGGAAACTGACCTCAGACACACAGCTCCTCCTGAGAGACGGGAAAGGGGCTAGGAGCTTTGTACATAAATCACCCTGAAAATCTCCCTCAGAGCAAAGCCCAGAACAGGGACGATCACTAACAATGCTCCTTCCAAAATGTTCATCACCATGGAGCCTCTCTCCTTGTTCAAAATAAGTAACAAAACAACAACAACAACAGACAAAGAAAAACCACACTAAAAAGAGGACTTAACAGACACAGCACCTGGATTAATAGGACTATACAGGACTTGCAGACTTTGAGAGGGAGAAGTCTCCTCAATAACCTTGAGTTTGGCATGGGGGTATAGTCGGGGCCCAACATACTCTACTCATTCCTGTCGAAACCATGCCTCACAGACAGCCCTGGGCAGCCCTGCCATCACCAGCACCTTCTACTCACCGCATGAACAGGGTTGCACTGGTCTATGGGGCTCTTAAAGTCCGTCCTTAGTTCATCAAAGGCAATTATCTAAAACAGAAAACACAGAACCAAAATGTTAGTGCAAAGGGGAGTGGACACACCATGTCAAGAGCTTCCTATCAATTTGCTTCAAAATCACAGGCAGTGGGGAGAGGGTATGGAGGACACAGGACTGGCCAGGCACTGGCTGCTGCCGAAGTCAGTAATGGGCACTTGGAGGTAGTTGTGCTCTTCCGGCTACTCCGTGTGCATGCTTTGCAACCCCCCAAATACCACTGTTTAACCATCTTGTGATTTGCAAAGACATCAAACCCTACGGTGGTGAGGGCAGGTTGGGTTTGGATAAAAGGCGCAAAAGTTTGCAACTCCAAACCAGCCCTTCAGTCTTTCTCCTTCCAGGAAGGGATAAAGAATATTTAGATTGTTGTTTCCCATTTTGACAATTAAGAATAAAACTGCATTCAACATTTGCATAATGATTTTTGTCTAAATTTAAGTCTTTAATTCTGTTGGGTAAGCAGGAGAAGGATGGCTTGCTTGTGCGGTAAGTGTATGGTGGGATTTGTAAACCAAGAAACTGTTTTTCCAAACTGACAGGACCATTTTGCATTCCCACAGCGATCTATGAGTGTTCCAGTCACTTCCTGGCCTCCCCAAACTTCATCTCCTTGAATCTTTTTAATTCTAGACATTCCAGAGATGTGTGGCGGCATCTCATTGTGATTTTAGTTTACATTTCTCCAGTAACTAATGATGCTGAGTATCTTTTCACAGACTTAATTGCCATCTGTATATCTTCTTTGGGGAAGCGCATGTTCAAATCATTGGCTCATCTTTTTATTGTTGTTAATTTAGCTGTTTGTTTTGTTACTGATGACTTTTGAGATTTCTTTATATATCTCGGTACATCTTCTTTGTCAGATATGTACTTTGCAAATATTTTCTTCTATTCTACAGCTTAGCTTTTCATTTTTAACAGTATGTTTCTCCAAGGAAATGTTTTCTCTTTCATTCTGACACATCAGTTTATCCAATTTATCAGTTTTTCTTTCATTGATTGTACTTTAGTGTTGGACCTAAGAATCCTTTTGGATCTAAGAATTCCTGAGGTCACAAGATTTTCACGTATGTGTTTTTCTAAAGCCTAGAGTTTTCTTTATGGAAAGTTTTAAACTACAAGTTCAATTTCTTTCAAAGATTTAGGGCAAGAGATGATATCACCAAGACGGTGACAGAAGAGGTTCCTTGCCTCACTCCGAAGAGGAACATCTAACAACCACATTGTGCCACACCCAGAAAGTTCCATAGCTTGGGGTGAGAATGAACACCTCTTACACCTCAGAGACCAGCACGGACTGCACCAGAGGGGACAAAGAAGAAATCTGTGGCTCACTGGACAGGAAGTGGGTGGAGAGAAATGCATGGAAGCTACGGTCCAGGGAGGAGGATACAGAGAGTGGGGCTACTGGCCCAGCCAGGGACTCTGCAGCAGTTTGAGCCCTGTCCCTGCCACCACTAGGCTCAGGCACAATGTCACAGCCAAGCTGACAACAAATAAACCATCACAACCCCCCAAAATCAGGGACTGGCTCTGGGCAGTGCTGGACCCCAGCCACTAGGGCTTGGTTAGAGAACCAAGACAGAGTAATGGTCCACTGGTCCCTTTCTCCGGCAGGAAACCTTCATGAATCTTGGGATCTGTCAATAAGCTCATCTTAGGAAGAAAGCTGCCTTAAAATAATTTGGAAAAGGTGCATGATAGAGTCTTTTCAACTTAGGGATGATGAGCCTAAGGGCCAGAGAAGAAAACAAGACTTGTCCTTATGCTCTCTCCCACGGCACAAACAGGGGAGTTTATCTCCATCACAAGAGTGGTGGAAGCCCTCACCAGGACTGGAGAACCCTGCTGTGGGCTGCCCAAGGGGTCCCACAAAAAGAGGTACTGGGCCAACTTCAAAGCAAATTCTTGAGGCTCAAGAGCCCTTTGGACTCTGCAGGAGAAGGACAATTGGCCAGGGAGAAAATGAACTCCAGTCCTTTGTCAGCCACGGCCTCCACCGTGACTTTCCACCAGCACTCCCAGACCTAGCCCACAATTCCAGATACAATTCCCTATGTCACATCACCCTAAGTCCTTTAATAGCACAGCCCACCAACACCAGCCCCACTGCTCTCATCATACCACCACAAGATGAGCCCCCACTGGCTCTGCACCTCCACACAGTGGGTTCTCTCCACATCCCCCTCATTATAGCAGGTGCTGCTCATTAGAGGGAAGTGTCCTGCACTTGGAGGAGGGCTCAGGTGAGCCTTGGCCCCACTAATTAACTAGCTGTTGTAGTCACTTCTCCAGCTGTGGTTTCTTCATCTATAAAATGGGAATAACAAAGCCCCTACCTCAACTGGTCTAGCTGTGAGTGTGAAATGAGATGATGCAGACTAGAGAACTAGAGAGAAATAAAGACAATGGTGGGTGAGGGGAGGAAACTCCTATTAACGAAGAGGTGGAACATGCATGATGATTGAGCACATGCATGTGAATCAGAATATCTCAATTTAAATCCAAAGTCCACCTTATTGATATCTGTGTAACTGCTAGCAAGTCTTTTAACCTCTCCAAGCCTCAGCAATCTCAAATATAAATAAGGGACAGTAAAGATTCCTAAATCATAATGTTGGGGATTACATGAAAGCACTGGGCATGGAGCCCAGCATGTAGTAACAATCCATACTGTCACCTTTACCACTGTAGTTATTATCACCTTGCAGGTGTCTGGTCCCACCTCTGGTCTCATGACTCTCCTCCCCTCCCTAACCTCCGCACTGTCATTAGCACCCCATAGCCTGAATGCAGTGGAACCCAGCCACTCTGGGGGTGGCAGGAGGTGGCAGAAAAGTAAAAATAGGTGCCAAAGGCAAAGCTGCTCTGAGGACATGGGTGGGTAAGAGAGTAGCAGGGCCCCTCCTGTCACAAGTAGAAGACTGAGCTTCAGGCTGCCAGAAAGGAGGTAGACACCAGCAGGTGAACTGGCAACAGAGGCCTCAGCTCCCCTGACCCAGGCCCTGGACCTGAATGATGAGTACAAATTGGGGAACATAGGACACAGCTTATTTGTGATTGCACCAGAATTTGCAGACATAGCTGGTTCTGACATTGCTTCCCTGGTCCCTGTCTAGTTAACATAAAACAAAGATGCCCCAGAGCCATGCACATCTGGATGGAAGCCAAGTGAGCAGGAGACCAGGCAGGCCAGCCAACCTGCTCCCATTGACACTCAGCAGAGTCACCCGGGCTCCAGCCAGCAGCTATCCCTGCCTGTGTAAAATCCTGAGAAGAGAGAGTGATGAGAAGGTCCAGACACTCTGCTCCCTTGTCACAGGGGAGGCAGCCACTCTGAAGAACACAAGCAGTGAGGAAGGGGTGGAAAGAGGGTTGGCAGCCTGCAGCATTCTGGGACCTTTCTGGTCCCACTCAGTCTGACTAAAGCCCCCTAAGTCAGCTCACCCCCCCCCCCAGCTATGGCCCACCATGTCAAGCAAGCCAGGAACCACAGAGCCTGCCCTAGGTGACTGTCTCCAGAACCTTCCATCTCTGTTCCACTAAACTCATCCTTGCACTAGCATCCTCGGTTCTCAAACATGAGGCTTCAGGGGCAATTTATGGCTCATATTGGTGACCCTCCAGACAACCTTTAGGGCTCTTGACCTTCACTCTCCCGCCTAACTCTTGTAACCGTTCCTTCTTTTGGTTCCAATGTCCTCTGTCCTTTGGAAGCAAGTAACTTCTCCAATCCCTAGGCCTGCCCCACCATCAGGGTCAAGCTCTGGAACTCTGGCGGAAAGCATGCAAGAATGAGCACAGATGTGCAGCAGGAAGGTTCCACACACCAAAGCATCTTCCATGAAGACCCATAATTATTCATGTTAAGGTACTTACTGAGCACCTACCAGGCACTGTTAGGCACTGGAGATACTACAAAAAGCACAGCAGGTGAGAAGCTGGCCTTTACCAATGACAAAGATTCCCCTTCATCCATCTTTAGTCAGACTCCTATAGGAGTTCTTTTCTCAATTTTGCCCCAACTTGGGCTTCCTTGTCCATTCCAGCAGAGCCTAGTTTTAATTGGAATCCTGTTAAGTCGATTTAGAGAGTATTCCCCACCCTTGCTATCTGATAATTCTGGCTTGTCTTCAGCAAGACTCCTTCTTAGTCAATTTAGTAAGAAGCCCCCATCCTTGCGGTCCTCTCTTAGTAATTTTCCATCCAAAAATCCCTTAACCCAGCTCCATGGCTATAAATCCCCACTTATCCCTGTTGAATTCAGAATTGAGCCCTCTCTCTCTCCCATTGCAATAATCTTGAATAAAGTCTTCCTTACCATTTTAACAAGTGTCAGAATAATTGTTTTAACACACCAACCTCTATTCATTCTCTTCATTCTGAAAAAGCAACACCCTCTGGGAGTAGGAGACCATCAAGCAAAGCATTAATTATTCTGAATGTAAATGTGAATCCTTTAATTAAAGGTGGACTGTGTATTTAAAAAGGGGCAGAATTCCCAGCTCTGGACCTAAACTTAAATTTTTTATTTTTTTTAATGTCTACTGAAGTGACATTGATTTTAGGGTATAGATTTATATCTTTACAATGTATGCTATCACACCACACCCACCACCAAAGCAGCAATAATCTCCCACCATAGTCCACCGAGCCTCCTCCCTCTGCCTCCCCTCCGCCCGCTTCCCCTCACACCCCACACACATTCTCTCTTTCCTTCTGGTAACTTCTTTTCTGCAGTCAGATTTCTAGGTTTTGTTTTAGGTTTTGTCTATTTCTTTGTTTTGTTTTCTTATGTTTTTATGTTTTCTTATTAGTATTACTAGTAAAACCATCTTTCTCCTTCTGACCCTTTTCACTTAGCATAATCCCTGCCAGTTCTATCCATATTGCTGCATATGGCAAGATTTCATGTTTTTTCTTTTGCTGAGTAGTGCTCCATTGTATACACATACCACATCTTCTTAGTCCCTTCATCTGTCCTTGGGCA